TTGATGAAACGTTTTCTTAGACAATCTGGCTGTAAACGCCTTGTAATTTCCTGCAACACGGTAGGTTCCCATCCTTCTATTTCTAATATAATTTTGAACCTGCTCCAGTCGCGACATCAAGCTGCAAGACTGCAATATGAAAAATTTATCAAGCAGTCATATAAAGATTATTGTGGTGCCGATGCCGACTGTGCCATTTTAGCTGGTATGTTGGCACCAACATGTCATAAAGGTGGACAGCTATATGAAGTTCATATAATAAAAAATTAAGGGCATACACAGCGGACGCAGCTGCTGCATTACAATGACGACTACACTTTGTCGTGTGCTTCCGGATATCGAAAACTGGAGCGTTATGTAGCGGCAGAGGAGCGCAGACACAAGAAAAATGTGGAGCATGTGAGAAGAATGGTCAAGATTGTGAAGTATAACATACATAAATTTGCTTTGGCCTGATGATTTCTTCAAAATATATCGTTATTAAGCACGATTCTACTTCAGCTTCAACCGTGATATGGAATCGGAGGCTGAGAATACGACAGAAACAGAAGAAGTAACATCTGACAGCGAAGAAGATGATCGTGAGGCTTCAATATGAGTGCTGTTTGGTGCATCACTGACTTAAACCTTCTTTAATTTCACTTTAAGAGCTGGAGCAGCATGCGGTGTCGCCGGAAGGGCAACTTGGTATGGGACATGTAGAAGAAGAAGGTAGACTTACTTGAATAGTTAAGCTTAAATAAATCGGTAAGTAGTGATTTTTCTCGTGAATACTTTTTAGAAGCGGTTCAGCAACATCTCATGGAAGGCCAGCAAAGCGTCGCTAAACTTAATGACGTCACTGCCAATTTGCAGTTGCTGAACAACCGTCCTTACGATGGTGGACTAAGTTCTTTATCTTTGGAAAGTGAAATGGCAGATTTTCTTAGGCGGGGGCAGCAGATCCCAATTCAGGTCTTTTTCATTTGAGCTATTTAAATTACTTATGGTAGTTAATTATGTTACCCACGCAGTTGATACTAACGAAATCGATACAAACCTCTTAAAGGATTTCCCATGGGTCGAG